GGTGTGGTGTCAGGAGCGAGAAGCTGAGGGATTGTATCTTCAGAGGCAGGTGAGAGTGAAATGAGTGGAAGTGAAGGTGAGAGCAAAACGGGAGCAGGAGAGACATCCTACTCTCAGAGCCTGCCCCCAGAGACATACTCCCTCCAGAAAGGTCAGGCCTAAACCTCCCCCAGATTAACCACGTGTGTGTGTGTGTGTGTGTGTGTGAGAGAGAGAGAGAGAGAGAGAGAGAGAGAGAGAGAGAGAGATAAGAACATAGAACTTCTTAAAAAAAACCCTTTATGTCTTTTTCTCAATTTTCTGCACACAAATGTGCTTATAAATCTGTTTTTACAGCATGGTTATAAGAAGTTTTACACCTGTGCTTCTTTTATTCTTGTTTTTTTGTGACACAGAACTAGCATTGTGCGTAGAACGCCTTGGCCATGGGGAGTCCTTGTGAAGCTTAGCCTCTCTCTGATTACTCCCATCATCAACAGCTCTGCTCAGTGTCCATCTGTAACTGGATGGCGTGCCCTTTGCTTCTGGGTAGTGGGGGATAGGCTTTGAAATTGAACTTAGGCATATAAAACACACAGGCTCAGGCACGGGTGTGTGCGTGTGTGAGATGATCCACGTGAAACGTGCAGGTTAAATGACACTAGGACATGCTGTCTATGAGGGACTCCATGTACCTTTCTGGCTGCTCAGCTCCTTATTCGTTGTTTAGGATGACCATAGTACTAATGGTCTTTGAGACCATTCTTAGGCTTTTTTTCTTTTGCTGAGCTATTTTGTAATTTTAAAAATTAGACTCCAGAAAACAGGTATCATAAAATGTAATTGTAAACAAACTGGCTTTTGAACTATATGGTCATCTTTAACAGTAATTCTATTAGTATAGAAACAAATGGATGCCCGATCTTAGCACTGATTTCTGTTCTACAAAGGCAGTGTGTTACCCCGTCCTGTTGGTGCTCACAGTCTATAAATAAATCTTCCCACCCACGTTCCTCTCAGCGCCCGTGGCCACAGGGCTGCCCCTCCTCGCCCGAAGTCCTCTTCTTCCTGGTTTGGGACGGCCTTCAGTTCTACAAAGACAAATTGCAGGCACTTTCATCCAGCTCCCTCCATTGCTGGTTTTGTAACTTTTAATTTCCTTCACAACAAAGGATCTGACCTTGAGCACAAATTGTGTTTGCTTGGGTCACGGGGGTCTCCCCCAAACCGGATCTGGATCTTCTTTAACTTTCAGGACCTCGGAATTGTTGAAGAGCAGAGGCCTCTGTGTTCTGGAACGGTGCTGGACTTGGTTTTGATGCTGTTCGTGACTGGAGCAGGCTCTGCGTCTTGATGTGGCACCCCTTCCGTGCAGTGACCCCCACCTTCACACCGACGCAGACAGCACTGGAGATGTTCGCTCGGCTCACTTTGAATACAGTGGCATTTGACACGTTTCTTTAGTAAAATTTACCCTTTGTGCCCTTACAGTTAACACTTTGTGGACGGGCTGAGCCTGCGGGAGTATTTGCTGTCTCATCTACACACTTCATCTCTGTCACCTGCCATCGGCGACTGCGCATTTACCCTGGTGCATTCGATTTCTAGCGTGACGGAGATCACCCGATTCCTCTTCTTTTCACATTTGTAGCAGTGCGATACACAGCTCCAGTTACAATTAACGATTTGTTGTTTGCTTAGCCTAGCCGTATGCAGCAGCCACCCGACTCTCCTCTTGACCACAGACCCTGTTCAGCTTCTTATGGTTAAATCTCGTCGCTCCAGCAGTTAAAGGCATTCACCCGCATTTCCCACCCCCGCTTATCACTTGTAATTTAATGGGGAGGGAGGTACGGAGTGTTTTGCCCCATGGGTAAGATAGAATCATAAACTGATTTCATATAAATTAAATGGACTATGTTAATTTGTATCTATTAATGAACAGAATAACAAATGAAAGAAATGGGTATTTTTAATGTTTTCATAATGCAATCCTTCTCCAAATAACAGCATTCTTTAGGTATAAGTTATTTCTTACTAAAAATCATCTACATTATTGCTTACAATGTACTTTTTAACATTCTAAATCCAATCATGGCTCTTGAAAAAAATGCATATGAGGCGTCTGATTTTTCACAAAGGCAATTTCATATCTTAATAAGAATATCTGAAAAGATGATGTTTCTGTGATGGAAGGAAGATCAAAACCATAGCAACAAATAACCTGGAGACTGTGGCTGTGTCTGCAGGAGGCGAAGATGCTAAGCAAGGCCCACACCTTTAGACTCACAGAGTACACCGTGTGCACAGTGCTGTATGATGGAGGCACGGAGTCACTGTGCAGCCATATTGCCAAAACCCCAAGTAAAGCTTTGTCGGGAGTTTGCTCTCTGGCTGCATCTCTACTGTTCCTCTGCTGCAGCTGTTACTCAGTGGTGGTGGCCTTGTCCTGTGGGCCAGTGCGTGAATTACAGCACAGATCCCAGCATGAAGCGTGTGTCTGTTTGGGGCAACACCTAGGTTGATTTCATGTCGATCTTTAGCTGGAGTGGTCAATGTGAGCAGGTGTAAACTTGGACACCAACACATCACAACATAGTTGCAAACCTTTCTTTTGGGTCTAAGCCTCAAGATTCTTTCTGAACTTGATGGCCTGGTGGTAGCGTATCATCCCCTCGGTGGAGGACGACAACAAATGTGCCGAGCAAGTTGGAGGGTTGAGCTATTAAAAGCCATTCTCCTCCATCAGTATGCTGCCGTTTCTGCTCTTTTCAATAGAAATAGGTTAGCTTTTAGATACACAGCAATCAAAACATGAACATTTTATGCTTGCTGTCATTGTTATCTTAAGTCTTCTCCAATGGACACGTTAAAGGCTTTGACATCAGCCTGTGACTTTCCTCTCAGGGGCAGACTCTCCTGGAGACAAGGCCTAGTGGGAGAGAGCTAGGTTATCAGGGACATACTCTTAATGGGACGCTGGGACCCTGCTCCTTCTTTTTCCTCTCTCTTGGTGCTTCATTGCTCTTCTTAAGTAAACAGTGTCCTCAGCGAAATGATTCACTATGAGGTTTTAACTTGTGACAGGCCCTAAAGCCACAGGGACTGGCCTCTGAAACTGTGAGTCAAAATAAGCACGTCCTCTTTAGAAATTCAGTATCTCAGACTGATAGACACATCACTGGGCTTCACACAATGCAAGTTGTTTAGTTCACCAGCTACTTCGGTGAGCATAACTGTAAATGTTATGCTTGGTTCAACCTTTCGGACAACAGCAAATGCCCCTCAGGTTCTACGCTTGGTCCAAACCCTGCAGGCTGTGCAGTTTGTGTGACTTACTAACTAGCACATCAGAAACCTCTGTCGTCATCAGAAGCTGATAACGTCACCAGAAGCCAATGATGAGCTCTGCCTGGTAGTTAGAGTAGCCGTTACATCTGAAGAGCTGCTCCCAAAGCTGCTCTCAAATGTCACTATCCCCAAGCGTCTGTCTTCTCAGTGGTTAAGGTCAGGTCTCGTCAGCGCTCTAGCAGTGCTTTGAACTGATGGATTATGTAGGGGTGTTGATAAACTGTGATGTTGGTTCTTTCCCTCTTCCTCTTTGGCTTCCCCCTCCCTCACTGACCCACCGCCTTTCTCTTCCTTCTTCCTCTTCTCTCTCTTCTTCCTCTTCCTCCACTTCTTGGCTCCCTCTTCTCTTGCCCTTTCTTCTCTTTCCTGCCTGCTCCTTCTTTCTTCCTGCTTATGTTCTGCTCTTCTTCCTTTCTCTTACTTCCCTGCTCCCTTCTCCTTTTCACCCTTCTCTTTCTTTCCTTTATTCTTCCTTTTCTCTTCTCTGCCCTTCTTTTTACCCCTTTCCCTTCTCTTTCATATGTTTTCTTCCTTACCTCTCTCTTCTTTCTCCTATTTCCCCATTTCTCTTTTCATTCTTCCTTTCCTTTTCCTCTCTCCTCCCATCTTCCCCTCCCTTCTTTCATTTAAATAAAGCCTGTGGTATCAAATTTATATAGTTCTTATATTTCTCAGACTCTTGTCATCAATTTTCTTCCATCGTTCTTTCAAGACACATACATGTGTGTGTCTAGTGCATTTAATATATATATATTACCATGAATGGCTAGATGAGGGGTTTCTGGAGAGGTGTTTCATGCGTTAAGAGCACTGGTTGCTCTTCTGATTTCCAGAGCCCCATGGTGGCACATACCCAGGTGTAAGCAACTCCAGTCTTAGGGGATTAAACACCCTCTCTGGCCTCCTCTGGCGCTGACTGTGTGTGAACACGCTGTACACAGCTATAAATGCAGGCAGAACATCCATACACATGAAATAAAAATGCCGCTTTCGATAGTCGTTGCACAGTTTGTACATTCAAGGGGCCACGCCTGTCCTAGTGTGGCATTCACATGACTTTTCCTTCCGTGGCCATGTTTGCTTGTGGCTGTATAGAGATAGATGGGTTTCCATGGTGTAGGAAGGGCTTGAAGAAAGCCAGGAGCCATGTCCGTACACCCTTAATGTCCGGGGCTGATTTCCACTATGTCCACCGTGCCACATGTATGTTAAAAGAAGTCATGATGGTCACAATGCTTTCCTCAGTCTCAGCATCCGTTAAAGTGTGTAAGTGTCTAACGTAAATGCTCACACATTCAGCACAGTACCTGGAAAACAGCAAACACTCGATAAATGCCTACCAACTGTGGCTGCTGTCTCAGTGCTGGTACAGGCCTCCACAGAATGCTTAAATACACAGCCTGATTGATGAGGTCAGCGTAGGAAGTGTAATTTTGCTGCTGTTCTGAATCGTGTCATAAATGCCTGTGTTTTCTGGTAGTCTTGGGTGACCCCTGTGAAAGGGTTCTGCAATGCCCCAAAGGGTCTCAGCGTAGCACAAGCTGAGAAAGAATAGCCCAGGGTCTGACTTAGTGCAGAACTGGGGCATTTATCCTTCAGTCCATAAGTAGTTTAGGGGGCCGAGAGGGGCCACATCTCCAGGCTGATGGCCGGTCTTCTGTCCTCCTCAGGCGTGTTCTTCTCCCTCGTGGTGATGCTGTACGTCATCTGGGTCCAGGCGGTGGCCGACATGGACAGCTACAGAGCCATGAAGATGAAAGACTGCTGGGAGTTCTCGCCCTCCGTGCTGTACGGCTGGTCCTTCTTTCTGGCCCCCGCCGGCATTGTCTTTTCCCTGCTGGCTGGCTTGCTCTTCCTCGTCGTTGGACGGCACATCCAGACCCATCACTGACGTTTGCCCGACCGTGTTCGGGAGAGCTCTCAGAGCACCACCCTTTCCTCTCCGCTCTGTGTCAGCACTGGTGTCAGCTGATGTGCACTTAGAGCTGTTCTCTCTAATGAGTCATTTTCCCTGTGATTTCCCCACACACGGAGGTCCTCTGACTTCCCCAGAACCCAAAGCTGTCTCTGCCGGAAGGAACGCGTTCTGTAGGGAGCAGGTGCTGGGTCCATCATTCAGTTTGGAGTAATTGGTAGCGTGCAAATGTGATCACCAAAGCAACCCAAGCTGAGGTGGAATGTCTCCTTGACATTCACTTCTGCTATTTTTTTCTAACAAGGAGAATAATTACGAATGGAAAACAAATGTCAGGCGACTGATTTTGTTTCTTCTCCACCTCCGTGCCCATCACAGCCACATACCCACCCGCTGACTTCTTCGAGCAAGTGATTCATTATTTAAAAATAGACAGCAGCTGTTCCTCCTATCAGAACTCCGAGCTCCCGAGCTCAAATGGGCCACAGCAGTTACGCCAAATGTGCGCAGTCTAATTCATTACCAAGTGCATCACCTGAGATTTTTTTCTTAACTTTACTTGCTTACAGAAACCTCACACTCTTGGAAAGCAGCAAATCCACACGGCACAAGTGCATATTAGAACTCTGTGAAGTTAGAGGGTGTTAACCCCGAATTGTAATGTGCTTTAAAATTTGTAAAGCCAAGAGCCCCAGTGTAGCACATAATTCTATTCCATATTTCAAAATTCCCATTTAAAACTTACGTGGCTAAGATGTTCAGCATGTTTGAATTTATTGAAAGGACGTGTTTTTAATATTGCCCATCTGTAACGTTCCCAGATACCTCCATGTGAGGGTCGGAACAGCCTTGCTTTATGAAGACCGTGGCGTATTAACTGTCTCCAGTGTGTTACGTGATCCAGTTCGCCTGATCATTTGATTCCCATATTGTCCCGAAATTTCTTCCTCTTTGCAACAGACGCATTAACGCTTGCAGTTGCACAATTTCTCCTAACCTCACACAATTACATTTGTGGGGAAATGTAATTCTTTATTATTCACTAGCACAGGCACTTTGCAGATCGAAGGGGTTCCTTTGCCAGGATTGTTGATTAAGATCAAGCCCATATCTGAAAGGCTTCCTCCCTTGGTACTTGCATTCTGAAAGTTTCTATCCAGAAGGGTTTTGGCGTTAGTGAGGCCGAGAGAAACAGCACCGAGCTTTGCTGGGACCCACTGCTGCTTTCTGCCGCTGGAGCAAGAAGGGAAGGCAGCACTGAGGCAGGGGAATGAGCACCAGGTGCTCTGCGCAGGAGGGCTTAGCCCTTCTCAGCTGCTGCATGTTCAGTGTGATGCTGCCTCAGCCCTCCCTACTGCTGTACACGCAGGGACAGCTGGAAGGGCAGCAGGAGCCTGAGCGTCCGCATGAGGCGTTTCAGGGCAGGATTTCCCTGAGCCGCTAACCGCTCTCTGTAAAGCTCCAGGGGCTTGCTTCATCTTGCAAACCGTTTCGAGGACCTCAGTGCACTTTCGCGTTCCTTTCCCTTTGTTGGCTTCCCTTTCCTTTTGATATTGATTCATTTACTCCCCTGCTGTCTTCGGCTTGGTTATCAGGAGAGTAATTCTGGGTTCTTTAAGTGTATCGCCTGTGATCTTAAGCTATGGCATGCCATTAAGTGTGCCAGGAGACGCTTAAATGTATCTGGTTATTTGTGTCATCCTAACCTACAATTCTTTTTTTGTAGAACTTTGGAATGAAACCTTTTTCAGGACTGTATGCCATTTACATTTCACATGCAAGCTGTTTCTAGTAAAAGTTTGAATATTTATAAATTTCAGATGGTCGCCCTTACTTTTTTATTCACCTTTTTTGTTTTTATTATTTTTTAATTCACTTGTGTGGCTACTGTGTGTTTATAATAAGGCAACTGGCCAGAGAGCTGGTGGGTGTGATGATTTACACAGCCCCACACATCAGAAGTCTTTCTGGGTTGTAAGGTGACCGTGACGCTTGCACTGATGGTAAGCACCATTTTCAAGTGCTCAAGAAGTGGACAGAACTGGGTGAGTTGTGCCTGCTGGGTTGGTGTATAAACTAGTGCGTGAAAATAAGCGCAACAGCTTCATGTCTGAGCGGCACCGTGCTCCAATTGTCCACGATTTGTTTGTTTCTGTTGGGGACACTGGCTCCTTCTGGAAGCAGTCAAGGGAAAGGTTAAGCTTTCTTGAGTGTTGATTTTGTACTGTAACTTTTTCATTTAACAAGTAGGACAGCTCTTCGGGATGCAGGTGAAGAGAGTAAGGAAGGCAGTGAGGAATGCCGTACATTTCTGGCAGCTGTGGTGTCTCTGTGTAGTGGACTTTCTCAGTGGCCTTAGGTCAGTCAGCAGCAGATAACGCATTAATTAAAGGCAGCTGGAGAACATACACAGTGCACATTAATGGTGGGGTTCAGCTCAGGTTCCGATGTAGGAAGTGGAAAATGACATACTCACTATCTGGCATGCTGCCCTCTGCAGTCATTTTACCAAGAATCTGCAAAATACTGTGTTGAATTTAAAGGTTAAATTTATTTGTGAAGGAATACAGTAGAGAAAATATCACCATTTGGTAATTAGCATTAAAATATACAGGTGTGTGTCAGAGAGAGCCAGAGACTCACACACACAGAGACACACAGAGACAGACACACACAGAGAGACAGTGGCACAGATGCAGAGACAGATACAGACAGAGAGAGAGTGTTGGATTCCAGGAATGCATGGAAAGGTAAACTGGTTGCTGTGGTCAGTGTAAGTGAGCTGGGCACAGGGTAGTTTTCTTGGATAGTACTGACGTCATTTCCGGACGACACCTTAACAGTGCCCCTCACCTGAGGATGATCTATCCAATGTTGCCATAACTTGATCTGTGTTTTCATGAAAGTCACCACACCGGTCTTGGAAAAGACCTTAGCGGCAGACACAGACTGAACGATAGTTGGACCTTTGGAGATACAGGTGAGGGAATCAGAGGAGACACCAGCAGTGCCCGGTGACATAGTAACGAGGAATCTCAAAATAAGATTTGCTTTTGGGGGGTCTCCATTGGGACGGGGGTTCCTGAACAGAGGTGAATAGAGAACTGAATTCCTATTGGTTGTCTGAAGGAATTAAATGTGTGGAGACTTTTCAGTACTAGTCAAATGTGGGGGGAACTTCCAGAGAGAACACGGGAAGACAGTGTCTTACATGCACAACATGGGGGAGGACGCAGGAAGAGTTCATGCCTTTGATATCATGTCACAAAATAAACCAAGCAATGGATTCCTTGAGCTGGATGGCAGGGGAGAGAAGACAGAGGAAAACACCCATAGACAAAGGTGGTGATCCCCACTGTCACCCCATCCCAGCCTCGCAGAGAAGAAGTAGATCTCAGTGCTCATGGCCCATTCCATCACACAGTGAGTTCAGATCTAGCCTGGGCATCTTAGCAATGTCTTATTTTAAATAAAAAAGGAGAGGGGTGTCTGGGGAATATGGCTCAGTGGTAGAGGTGCTGCCCGGTGTGTTCCTGAGTCCTGTTTAACCCCTCGATATCGGGAAAGGAGCTCAGAGTCTCTAAGCTGGCTGACAGCAGCAGAGCTGTGGTCCCCTGGGCATTAAGTTCAGTGTGGGGTGTGTGTGGGTGGTGAATACCAGGGAAAACGCTGAAATCAAAGCAAAACACTGTGGCCAACCCACCGTGACTTAGAGCTTCCCGTCCCTCTCCTGGGGCAGTGCTGAGCAGCTGGCTTCCGTGAACTCCTTTTTGGGCCACCTGTATTTTGGATGGCATGGCTGGCACCTGAGTTCTAGCCTTGCGTTTTTCAGAAAGCTTTGGGAGAGTGAGTTTGAAAACATTATGCCTGTGCATAGATGCATATGGTAAATCTAATAAGTCTATATTTACGTAAATGATATACTTTGGTCTATGGGGGAAACTGAGTTGTGTTCAATTTAGCTGTAGTTGCATGATATATTTGTTTACTTTTTTCATAATATTTGTATTGATTATTTGTGAATTTCACATCACAAACCCCAAGCACACTTGCTTCCCAGTCCTCCCAGGTCCATGCCGACTCTTGTGACCCCAACCTCAAAATGATGCGGAAGAAAAGGAAGAAGAAGAGGAAGAAGAGGAGAAGAAGAGGAAGAAGAAGAGGAAGAAGAAGAGGAAGAAGAAGAGGAAAAGGAAGCACTGCAACAACCACAACCTCAGCAGCGTTGCCCATGTAGCCGCTGCGGCATGGTAGAACGCTGGGTGACTGGCTTCCTAAAGAAAACCGACCCTCCTCCGCCTGCGCCCAGCCCGAAGGAAGCCATCACTTGTGAAGAGCTACACTTCAGTATCGCCCCCCCGCCCCCATCTTTAAGCGTTCTCTTCGGCGGCTTTCTGTCTGGGCTGTTCCTTTTTTTAGTGGTGGGGTGGTGTAGGGCCAGGGGTTGTCACAGAAGCCTCCTCTGGACCTCTGTCCCAGCTGTGAGCCTGCAGTCACCGACACCATGGCAGAAGTCGCTTCCTTGGCCGTTAGTCAGTGGGCGCACAGATCGTGGACTTACACGCGGTTTCTGGCTACCGCATGGACCACGGGCAGCTGAATGGTGCCTGGCGTCAGCACGTGTCACGGACCTCAGCGTGGCCTCCAGGGCGGCCCAGACCACGGAGGTCTTTCGAGAAGGTCCAATCCAGAAAACGAACTGTTCTCTATGTCGGATATTCTGTCCTTGCTCAGAATGGTCTTGCGGCTGGGCATGTGTTCAGGGAACGAGCTGGAGCGCAAGCCCCGGGCTGCTGCACCCCCCCCCCCCGCCCATTGGACCTGCAGCGACATGTCCGCACCCTCGGCAGGCCACGCTCACACCTTTCACAGCCCACGAGTGTCCGGCTCCGCCTCCCTGCGCTCTCTGCTCTGTTCCTCTGTCTTCCCCACCTCCACATCCATTTGTCCGAGCGGCACCGGAAACTGCCGAGCGT